CAGACAGACAGACAGACAGACAGACAGACAGACAGATATGATAATACGATCTTACTGGGAAGAATCTGAGATAAAACAAGAATCTGTCTCGATCTCCTGCTGGGAAATATATGAACTTGATGGGTCTCTTCCAAACTGTGGTTTCTTTATGTAAACACTGTACATTTGATCTATTTGGTTAGGGGGGAGAATCAGCTGAGCACACTGAGCAATTAGGGGAAAAAACGCTCCAGAAAGAGACTATATATTTTGCCAGCACTACAAACTAATTTCATGCTTATTAGAGGGGTCCTATATTAAATGTGAATTGTATAGCTCCATTCATTATTTTGTCTTTGATCATTCTGTTACACCACACTACTCATAAAAGAAGACACTTTGGGAACCTACAACTTGTTATATGTAAGCCTCTGATTCACCTAAAGCATATGAAGTTTGGTGGGTACTGGATAAGTATGTAGTATCACACCAAAGTATGATCCATTAAGAAATTATACACTCTAGGACCTAGGGCTAGGAATTCTGCTTGGCAATCAGACTTAAGATATATATACATATAACCCTTCAATGCCCTTTTTGTGTGCAATGGAGCAAGAAGGTTTTTATTACTCAAGGTTCTTTCAAAGTTCAGGCAGCAGAACACTTTCCTTTGGGTCAGATGGAGGAGTACAAATGGATTCATGATGTTTCCTGCTTGTCCTCAGCATTCTGAAGATGGCAGGAGTGAGGACAATCACATGAAAATTCAAAATGTTTTCTCTCTATCCAGACACATTTTTCCTTGCCTATGCTTGACCTGAAATGCAGAGGTGGTGTTACCTCAAAATCCATAACAGCATATGAGAGCCAACAAAGTCTGTACAACTTATAAACTATAATGCATGATTGTCAAGCACTTAATTTCTAATCAGCTGACTTTTCGAAGCATGTGGAAAATGGAATGAACTATAATCATAAATTGGAATGCTATAATCATAAACCAAATATCATCATCATCATCATCTAATGGAATAGTAATTAATAATGTTTTGATAGCTTTCTGTAATTTAGTATTCTTCATGTGATTTAGGATTGCCAAAACTCCATTCACTCAATGGATTGAAGACCTGATTGTGCTTGCTACCTATGAGTGGATTGCCTATAGACATAGACTTTGTATGGACAAGTATAATGAATTATGGGACTGATTTATACAAAATACAATAGGTTAAAAAATATGATAGTCACATAAATGTATTGGAAATATATATGCATCTGAATAATATTTGCATTAGATAATGAATTATGGGACTGATTTATACAAAATACAATAGGTTAAAAAATATGATAGTCACATAAATGTATTGGGAATATATATGCATCTGAATAATATTTGCATTAGATAATGAATTATGGGACTGATTTATACAAAATACAATAGGTTAAAAAATATGATAGTCACATAAATGTATTGGGAATATATATGCATCTGAATAATATTTGCATTAGATAAATATATATAGATTTGTAACTATTTACTATTACAATGATATACTATGCCAAGTTTTTATTTCCTTTGTTGTGTTTTTGTCACTTTTTTGTAATAGCACTTTTAAATTTTTTTCTTCTTCTTGATAGTGTATTATTATTTTTGTGCTTTGTTTTTATTTTTCTCATTAATTAAAAAGCAAATATATATATATATGTGTGTATGTATGATTGCCAAAACTTACTAACCCCCCTCCCCGCTCAAAAAAAAAGGTAATTGAAAGTCAAGCTGGATAGAAATTCAGATTGGGCAAGGTGTACATTAGGGTATACTTTATTAACATTAGGAACACTTGTCCTTACTAAGTCATTCATAGCAAAGTGTTATGTGTATATAAATAAAATTCACACATAAAATAAGCTAAATTAGAGGCTTTAGGAAGTACACCATCTTAGGGTTCATATATCTTTCTGAATTATAGACTGTTAAGTCATACTAAGCTAACACCAAGCAAATCATAGTATGTGCAATATGTGGAAAAAGTCAATGAGAGAGGACTATCAAAGTCTACTGAATTAATGATATAATAGTAGTAAAAGAAAGAAAAATACAGAAAAGGAGTCAAAATAAAACTTATAACTAGTTACTTGGAATGGAACAGGGTAACACTTTTTAATCAGGTAAGTTTTAACGATTCGCAAGACAGCATAGTGTTCAATAAATGAAGCTTAATTTCTAAGGCCAGGTGTGAATGAATGGACTAAAATAGAAAAGGCCTGGGAATCTGTAACAAAGATTAATTGAAAGGATTGATTTGAAGGAACAGAAATCAGACAGAGGCATAGATATGAAATTGGTGGCTATATAAATTTGAATAATAAATAAAATACAAGCTCAAAATACTGTTTTCTCACTCCACTGAAAATCTCTAAATTCTTCAATTAACTTTTATTTTCATAATAATAAAATCAAATTACTTTTTTTTTTTGCATTTGCATTTGCATTTGCATTGCCTACATTTCTACTTCAAATTTTAGGAAGGTCCAAATGCAGTTCTGTTAACTTATAAGATATATGTTTGTCTCAGAGAACATTTCTCTGGTAGCCTTGTTAAACTATGATTTCATTAAATACAACCCTATATTTAATACAAATATCAATAACTTTAAATTTCAATTTATGCATTCAAAGGAGTGTAATTACCTTGCCAACAGGCTCCAACAGTGAGTTGCATTGCTATGTGTGATGGATGAATAGGCCAGTCATTAGTTACAAGGTAAGGTTCGTATGTTGTACCATCCATATACAAGGTAGCTACTGGGAACTCAACGTTGACAACATAGTAGTGCCATTCTTTATCACAAATCTAAACAACAAAAGAAAAGGCAATGTTATCTGGCTTCATGAATAAAGTTTTAGAGCATCATAAAGCTAAAAAAATGAATACTGCTATACTTTAAACTGGAGAAGACTTCAGTGGTCCTGTTATATTTTTATATAACATAAAATGTTTATTCCTTTTTGAATAA